CCAAGAAGCACAGCCACCAGCAGTCCAATCAGCTGGGTCCAGAACAAAAAACACCGGCTGTCTTCAAGCTCCTGTATAGGAAGCTTGGAGGCCTATGCAAATCAGTGGTCCCGCCCTTGATGTCCTGCTCCCTGCCAGTCAGACCACAAGGGTCCCTAAGGCCCAAGGCCCGAGAGAACCATTCCCCAGCCTGAGTCTACCAGGAGAGCGCGTTTTGTAGCCTTTGTTGATGCGCTCCATGTTTGTTACAAGGCCTGGCTCATCATTAGCTGGAAGATATTTGAGAAGAATTAAAAAACACAGGAATGAATAAGGGCAAGGAAGCAGAGCTGGGGTGGTACATAGACCTGAATTCAAGGACTTCCTTACCTTTTCAGCCAGTAAAATGTTATTTGGCTAGCAGGATGTTTGCCAAGCTTCAGAACCCTCACCTGCAAACTAAAGATTCTGTCTTCACAGAGGTACTAGAAGTACAATGCAGAATAGCAGATATAAGGGAGGTCTATAGCATGAAACAAGTTCTGAGGAATAAAAAAACTCAGGTTTGTTTTCCAAATCCTGTGTCTCCTACATATGAAGCTCCTAGAGCTGCAGGACAACCCATAAAAACCAGAGCTAACATTTGCCTCAGCCTTATAAGATTTCCTATTCAAGAGCCATGAAGCTTTGAGGCCGTGGTGAAACAATGGGCTACTCTCAGTGGCAATATCAGGCACAGGCCAGGACCAGATAGCCAAGACCTCCCTGTGAGATTCCCAGATGTAGCAGGAGGCTTTAATATCAGAAGTGCCCTCTTCACATTCAGTGGGCTAAGACTGGCCCAATGGACCTTCTTTAAAATGTTAAAACTCTGTAGCAGGTCTTCTGATGCCTTTTCTCCTGTCCTGGCTTATACAGAGACATGAGGGACACATGTCAAATCCAAAAGTAGACCCAGAATATCCTTGGGATATTTGGACAACCCAAGAGACTTACTTTGAACCCTGTAAATGTCTAACCTGCTGAACTGCAATAAAATATATACATAGATAAGATACATATAAGATACATGAATCATTAGAAAGTGATTCTTCTTATTCCACTTAGAAATTGGACCCCCAGGGCCTGCTTAATACCACTAACAGTAGGAACCTCTTTAGAGGCTGCTTCTATGTGCAAATACTTCTGCAAAATGAAGTCCCTGAGTAACACCTATCTTCTAGATACTAGCCAACTACATCTAGTTTATGTTGTCCTCATACTGTCCCTCTTTAGGATACCAGACTGTCTATGCTAAGAAAGGGGTCCTCTTGGAAGTGCTTGTTTCTTTCTCCTGGCATGCAGTCTCAGAAACAAGAATACTAACAATACTGCATGTAAATCATAGCTTAATAACTAACAGCAAATCATTATATACTCTGTCCCTAGTAATTTCTTTGTTTTAATCCATTGTCTTGGCAGTCCCATGATGACAAAGCAGAACTGCTGCTGGCACACAGACAGGTCAGACCCCGCGTGTGGTTGATGTGTCTTGAGAAGAATCCTGATCCTACTCAGGATTTGATCTCATTATAACAGTGAGATCTCTGCCTCTGGGTGAGACCTGGCCTCCATTCTGAACATGTGCTGCATGAAGAAACTGGTATCACTAGGGCAGTTGCACAAGGCTATTCCAAAACCTCCTACCTTCTCCATGTAGCCTAATGAGATCCCTCAGGTTAGGTCCCTTGGGGGGGAAGCTGGTGTTCATCAGAGAACCACTCACCTTGGTGTGCTCCCTGAAGTTTTCTGTCACTATTGCTTCAATAGATATCAGTTTCAAAATCAACTGCTTTAGTAGGAGGCCTCATTTCACTCTTGAGTGAGAAACTTGAGAACTCAGTTGTTACAGCTGGTCAGTAACAGTGCTGCTTTAGGAAAGATGAATCATATCTATGAATAGAAAGATCACAGTCTTTGGTGGCCTGTGTCTTCAGAGATTGGGTGCGCAAAACTTGTGATGTCTGCTCATTTCTTGGAGTGGGATGAAAATGCTCTGGGCCATCACACATACTAAAACTCAATGAATGCTCAGAATAGGTCAGGCCTTCTGTTTCGAAGTATCAATATGTTACCCTTGCAGTACTGGCTGATCTCTGCCTTTTTCAGATGATAAAACAGCTTCCGAAATTGGCATCTTTCTTAATGTCACCAGGAGGGGCAGGTGCAGAGGTTGGGATACGGGTGGGTCACAGGATTCACATGGTCCGTGACTGAACATGTGAAGATCCCCGAATGGTAGGGTATCTCCCTGTAGAGACCCCGGCGGCCGAGACAATAGTCAGAGTCTCTGGATGCAAGAGCAAGAGGCAATTTATTCACGAGCGTTCGTGGGCGCTACAGTCATCGGTAATTGGTAACTGAGCGCACCCCTTCTGTTTTTTAGGAGCCTTTTATCCCTAGCGCAAAAAGCGGTGATACAGAAGCAGATGCATAGTTACAGGGTTTCTATTGGCTGGTAGGATGGGGTGAGGGGAGGAGGTGAGTCAGAGTTATTTGTGTTCCTCTTGGGGGGGGTTGACGCAACCAACTGCGAGCCCCAGTCTAGTTTGGGTCGGCCTTGTCCGGAACATCTGGTTGTTTTCCTGCTGGCTCAGGCTGATATGGGCTACCGACCACAGGCATCCTGTTCTGAGATAGCAGGGGTGGGGTGCGGGGCCCTGTCCTTGGAGGTACACTTAGTTTTGTTAAAATGGCGTTACAGTGGCTAAGCCTCCTTCAGCTGGCCTCCCTCAGCTGGGTTTTTCACATGCACAACCTAAAACCTCACTTGAGGTGCCACTGCCGCTCCCAACGCGAGTGGGCCCCCTAGGAATCAAAGGTCCCGGCGCCCAGGGATTCCCACAGACTTCTCCGGAGCGGAGGGGCGCGCGTCCCCAGTCCCCACAGAGACTTCCGGGATCCTGGAAGGGTCCGGAAGTGGGATTATCTCGCTTCCGGTTCAGCCATTGTTTTTGGTTGTATCGGGCGGCGCGGAGGTGTCTGGCCCCGAGTGGTGGCAGTCACCGTCCCCCGGGGCGCCGAGTAGGCGCTGCTAGGGGGGCTCCGACACTTTCCGGCCGGGGACGTCGGGCGGGGGTCGCGGCCGCCCGCAGCCCAGGTCGCCGACGCCAGCCTGGCCCGCGCCCTGCCCCAGAGGCCTGCGGGGGGTCCCGGTGGCGCTGAGAAGCTGCTCTTGGCAGACCGCATCGTTGTCCGGTTTCCCCGACCGCCGTGCCAGCCGCGGAACCTGGCACCTGCGGGCACTGCGATGAACTAAGCAGACGTGGCCAGGTGAGCGGCTCCGCAGAAACCTGGTCGAAGGCGCCTTGCCCAGTGAGACACTATGAAGCGTCAGAAGTGGCTCAGACAGTCTCGGAATTTCAAATCCGAAGTCTAAACTTGGAGAGGCAGAAATCCAGAGGAGATAAACTGCAGAACGTTCGAAACTGTAAGGGTGGTAGGAAAATGGCTTGATCTTGCTACAAGTGTCTCTTAGAGCAGACTTTGTAGATACTTTGTCCATCTTTGTGCTTTAAAGAAACCAGACCCAGAGAGCTATAAGCTGCCAGGGTACCGAGATGCATGGTGAATTGGGAGCACAGCCTAAGTGGTGATTTTTAGTTTTACAATATTTAAGAGTCTCATGCTCTACCAACTGAGCTAGCCAGGCAACTCTGTACAATATTTAAACTAGTTAAGAGCCTCCCCTTCGCGCTCCCCTCCTCAGTATCAATAAGCTAAATAAGCCATTCATTTACTAGATATGTACCTCTGTATGCCATGTATCTGCACTGTGTATTAAGATGACTGGGAACCAGCCTTGTCCCCACTCTTCCCAGGAAGTGGGGGAGATATCTCTGTGAACCATAAAACAATTAAAGCTTGAGAAGTGCCCTAGCCAGGGTTTGAATGAAAAAGATGCAAGTGGATTCACTGAGGCTATAACCAACTTAATCCCAGAGAAATCAGGACTGAGTAGAAAAAGGGCTGCATGCAGTACTTTCTGATTCCATTAGATCTTTTCCTTGGTGACTGACCATCCAGCTGTTTTGCGGAGTCGCGCATAGGCTGGTTAAAACACATTAAGGAACAACAGAGAGGGAATCCGCCTGCCCTTTTCCTACATGGAGCAGTCAGGAACCTTCAGGAGAAAAGTGATATCTGTACTGGGTTTTGACAGATGAGTAGCAGTTTGTCAAAAATTGAAAGGAAGGTGAAAAATACAAACAAGGAAATAGTATGTGTGACCTCCAGCTATGCCTCTGGAGCTTTAGTCCCAAACTTTATTTTGCATTTCAGTCACAATGCTAAGTAGAAGAGTTGTGAACATACATTTCCAACAAGTTTCTTTGTAGATTAAAGGTATGTTCTACTTTACAAATGCCACTGCACACTATAAAATATACGTTAAATAATAAGTTAGCACCCTTTGGACCACCTTGCACATCCTACATTTTGAGGTCATTGGACTCTTTCTAGCCTAGGTACCTTGGGAGAGTGCTGGGTGGTTGTGGTTAGGACCTGAGGTCTAAGGCCAGGTTGTGAAGAACTGTGAATGCTAAATGTAGACATTGAGATTTTTTTTTTTAATTTTATAACAGTTTATTTTTACATCATTTTGTACATTTTTTCCCCCATCTCAATTGTAATCCCTGCAGGTTTCCCATCACCAAGTCACCCGTGTGCCATCACCATAATCCCGTGCACTTCCCTTCCCACCCCACCCCCATTTTTGATCCCACTCCCCGCTCCACCCCCACAAAATTAGACATTGAGACTTTATAGGTGATGGGAGCCACTAAAAGTTTAAGAAGGGAAGTTACTTGGAGAGATGCCTAGAGAGACTGCCCTGGGTGGGTTCTTTTCCTGGAGCTTTGCTGTTTAACTGTCGAGTATCATCAGGCTAAATACTTCGGGAATGGTGATTTCTCTCTTGATGTTTCTGTAGGTGATACTTCTATCACTTCCATGTCCCCAACTCTGAAAACAACTCCTGAAACCTGAGCTATAGACTATCATTTCAGCCTGACGAACTGCTGCTGGGACGAGCTTTTCTTTGGGATCACAATGGCCAGCCAAAGCAGGGGACCTTTAAGTCTCATCCCCAGGGGTGCCGATCTTCAGAAGCAGGTGGGGCGCCTAACTGTGAAGCAGGAGCCAGGGAGCCAGATCTGGGGGCAGAGCTGCAGTCTCCAGAAGAACCACCCTCCTGTCTGTGAAATATTCCGGCTGCACTTCAGAAAGTTATGTTACCATGAGATGTCTGGGCCACAGGAGGCACTGAGCCGGCTCCGGGAGCTCTGCCGCTGGTGGCTGATGCCAGAGGTACACACCAAGGAGCAGATTCTAGAGCTGCTGGTGTTGGAGCAGTTCCTGAGCATCCTGCCTGGAGAGCTCCGGACCTGGGTGCAGCTGCATCACCCTGAGAATGGTGAGGAGGCTGTGGCTGTGGTAGAGGATTTCCAGAGACATCTCAGTGGACCAGGACAGGTAAGTAGCCTAGTCTAGAAGAGTAGGTGGAACCATTCTCTAGTCCGTGGGTTAACATGGGAATAGGTACTGTCCATTTCCTAGGCTGTAGACCTGCTTGACCTTAAGATTCTTGAGCCAGCTTGCTGGATAGAGGGGAAGTGGCGTTGTGCTCCATGTCATAAACAACAGTGCAAATCTCAGGCAGGCTCTTTGAATCACTTGAGAAATAGGTGTATGAACCTAACTTCAGCCTGAAAATGTACCTGGCACTTGTGACAGACAGAGGATCTATATCCAGGTTAGAATGGAAATCAGACCCTGGTAAGACTGCATTTACCACTCTGCCACAGCTGTCACCTTGTGTTTTCAGAATGAAGACATGACAGTAGACTCCATCCCCTAGCACAGGCTCAGAAAATGTTTATGGGATGAATAAGTGATTAAACCAGCATTTCCATGGCAGTTTGCCAAGAGGAGATTAAGGAATTTCAGGGCTGATGAAGTCATTCTGCTCAGCAGGACAGAGTTTGTACATGTGTGCATTTTAGGCAGGAGTGGGTCATAGGTCATTCTTGCTTCACTGCAAAATTGTGCGATTGACAAAATCCTTTTATATCCTGTATTTTATTTCAACTCCTAGCAGACTTATAAAATACTCAAATGGTCATCACATTCTCTATGTGACAAGTAATGTTAGGACAGAGAGGTTAATGGCCTAGGAGCTAGAGAGTGTTGCTCTGTCCTTGATATTTAGCCAGGGTGGTTACTGCTAATTATCACCAAGCATGTGGATGAAGATTTTCCAGTTCCTGAGGTTCTCATCACTAGCTTAAACTTCATGTCTTGCAATATGATGCCATCTTAGATTGGAAATTGGAATGTGGTTTTCATGCTTACCAGGAAAGCAAACCGATAAATCTGAGTACTAGGTAATGAGCAGGCACTGGTCCAGAATTTAATTGTTGGTGAATTGTTGGCAGAGCAGAGCTCTTGCATGACCTTGGCTGGCATCTGGACACAGATACTGAAAGGCAGGTGAAAGCACATGCGCCTTGGAGGACGCTCTCGCGTGCCGGGTCTGAGCTCCAAGAATGTGAGAAAATAGGTCATGCGAGCAAGAAGCCGCGTCTGAGAAAGATAATAAAAGAGCTTATCGAGAGAAGTGTCAGGGTGTGTGCGGGGCTCGGCCATCTGAGGCTGGACACAGTGTTCCAAGAATTAGAACACCAGATATAAAGTTAGAATAACTCAATATGCTATTGTTACTGCTTGAGACTGTCTAGACAGACTAAGGTCAGTATGTTCTTGTTTCAGCTTGTTAATGTAAGTATATTAAGAGCACGCTGCGCAATAAAGATTCACTGCATGCTGGACAAAGCAGTCATCCCTCTGGTTCGTCCTTCACAGGTGCGCCCCAGGTCCCGGACCCACTAGAGGTCCACAGTGAATTACAAGTTGTGTTATCACAGTGCAGTAAAGTTCTATGATCTTCCAGAACTTACAACGGTTGTAGGTGAATCCTGTTTAGAAGAGCCGTCCGGTGGAACAGCCTGGATGCACCAACCTCAGGGAGCCTTCTGCACTGAAGACAGAAAATAAAGGGGAGAGTCCATGTCAGCAGATATAACTCAAGAGGGTAGATGCGACACGGTTTATTGGAGGAGGAGTTGTTTTCAACTTATGCTATACTACCTACACGCCAGAGTGAGTGAGTGAGCTTATAAATATGATTTATAGGAACAGCTCCAGATGCGCTACTAAAAAGGTACCTGTGAGATTTTGGGGACTGGTTTGATGGCAGCAAGCAAGGATTAGAAATAAAAGGTTTGTCCTCTGAGGTAATCTCAAAATCTTTGAAGATTGGCATTACCTGATCTTATTTGGCTTTTTTATATATATATTATTAGAAGAGGGGTAGTACATAATGAAAACTCAGGGACCTCCCTGAGTCTCAGTGCTATTATGCTAATTATGCTATCACTGCTGTGGACTGAGTTTGATCATTGGCCAGGGAGGTGACCCACATGGTGCAACGGACCTCTCCTGTCTTGCCCGCTGCTCTCCTCAGCAGTGTATTTCAGTCAATCTGCCTGTTCTGTTTTCTGCTCTGTCCCAGACGAATCCTCTCATTTCCTGCACCTCTTGGCCTGTATGCCAGTTCTTGTATGCATAAATCAATAAATCCATTAAAAAAAGACTAAAACATGCTATATCAGAAGTAGAGTCAGGAAGTTTGGGAGGCGGCGACTGTCCTTGCTTTCTTTGTTGATGTGGTTCGAGAGGGCTTTCTTGAAGAAGAGACACTTTTGCTTACAAAAAGTAGAAAAGCAATTTTGAGCTTTCACAACCTCTCTCCTGCTTCCACTGTCAGCCTTAGGGCTTTGTGCACATGCAGACACACATATCTGTCATGTGTCTTTCCTTGTTACTTCTAATTGATTTCTTCTGTAGTATGTTGCCCTCAGAAATATACTGATTTACCTCTACCTCTAGTTCCTTTTTCTAGATGGTTCTTCATAAGCAAATTTGTGTCACAGGGTGGAAATGGTTATGTGACATGACCTTTAAGCTCCTACCCAGAGAAGCAACAGGAATAGCAGTAGGATTGCTAACTGGGTCCCACTTTGACAGCTTTCCTCCAGTAGTTTTACTGATGATAACACAAAGACACTTTGGTTCCTCTTTTCCCGGATTTTCTTTTTGGGGTTGCTTGTTAAAGGTTTTGGAAACTGTATCTTCAGGATGCTCTTTTGAACCCACTTTTATTTCCATATCTCTAGGTTTCAGCTCCAGCCCAGGAACAGGAGATGCATTTGGAGGAGGCAACAGACTTGGATGGAACAAAGGACTCTCCTCCTACTTTGCTCCTCAGCAAGGGTCCATCCCCTGCACCCCTCCTGAAGCTTCCTCATGACCTGGGGGCCCACTGCCTCCCCAATGGGCACTCAGGTACTCATATCCCCAGCTCTTGCCTCAGGTCATGCCTGCCTTCTCTTTGGGATCTCCCACTGCACTGACTTCTAATGACTTTGTTCTTTTTGCTTAATCTCCAATGCTTTATGCGTTTGTCAGTCACGTGTCATATGAAGGTACTGTTGGGAACCAGAGAGATGTACTATATCATTTCTGCTTTCAGATAACCTGTCTAATTAGAGTCAATCATAATTGCAAGAAAAGGCATTTACATAAGATACATAAAAGAGATATTTGTTCCCAGGCATTTGATGCTGTCACAGTGAATTACATGACTTTGTAAGATAATCGTGGAGTGGACTGAGCAGGGATTGCTTCATTGAGGACTTAGCAATGGAATTAGCGGGTGAAAAATGGGGAGGAAGTGATATGTACTGGAGCAGAGGAGTTAAGCAAAACTCTAAATGGGAATTCATTGGCCCCAGTGAGTGGGATCTGCAAGGATTATTTGGAGCTTAGGGTCTCCTCGTACAAGTCTGCATGAGCAACTGCCAAGTGCTTGCCCCTCCCCAAACGGGGATCTTAGGAGACAAGCAGCAGCTGCAGTGGTGTGGCCTCAGGTGAGCTGGCTCTCTGTCTTTGCTGAGTTACCAAGTGTGTGGGCTGAGCTGGAGCTCCTCCTTGGGGCTCTGGGTCAGTGGGAGACTCCTGTGTCAGCCTGTGGCTGATGCCCACTGCTCCAGTGAGAGTGCAGAAGGAAGGGAAACCAGATAGGTGAGAGAAAAGCAGATGAGGCTGAGACTGGTGCTTGGTGCTGGAGAGAAAGTGGGAGAGAAAGTGGTGGGAAATGTCACTTCCTTGAAGAGACTGAGTGTGCTTCCTGGGAGAGGCTGAGGGCTGGGAGGAGGACTCATACTCAGTTTGGCAGGGGCTGTCTGCGGTGCCCACCAGGGATGTTCACGGCACACAGGATACTCTGACCAGAGACAAGGGTCGGTGTGTGCAAGGTCGGCGTGTGCGAGGGTCGGCGTGTGCGAGGGTCGGCGTGTGCGAGGTCGGTGTGTGCGAGCGTCGGCCTGTGCGAGCATCGGCGTGTGCGGCTCCCTGGCGCTCCTGCATGCAGCGGCTGGGGATCCGCGCCTTCAGAAGCAAGGGCAGGGCTGTCCCGCTCACGGCTTTCCTTCCTCCCTCAGCTCGCTGTGCTTCCCTAGTGCCTGCCCCTCCCCAGGCTGGGAGCCTGGGAGACCCAGCAGCAGCTACTGTGCTTCAGATGGTCAGGCCTCAGGTGAGCTTGTGCTGTCCTTGCTGGGTTGCCATGTGTGGCCCAGGCACAGCTCCTCCTTGGGGCTGTGGGTCTGTGGGAGACTGCTCCTGTCTCAGCCTGTGGCCTCCAGCCCAGGGACTTTCCCTGGACACGGTCCTGCCTGCTGAGTTCATGGACTCTGTTTTGCCTTGAGCTTGTTCTTTAATCTGTCACATCTCTCCCTTCCTGATCCCCTTGCCCTCTGGGACCCTTTGCCTGTGCCCTTGGTATCCTGTTCACGCTCGCCTTCAGGCTGGGATGTCCCTGAGCAGTAGAAGCATGTCCTTCCAGGGTTCTGCGGCATTCAAGTTTCTGTCTGTGGATGGTCCTCAGAAGCAGTGGAAATGTCCAGCACTGAGTCAGAGCACCTTGCACCAGAACATCATGCCAGAAAATTACCACAGCTTGGCCTTATTGGGTAATGATTTTTTTCCCCTGTCACATAGAGTCTGCTTTCTCTACTTTTTCAATGCTATATTCCTTTTTGTTTTATTATGAAAAATTTCAAATATATACAAACAGTGAGAATAATATAATGACCTCTCCTGTAGCCATCAACGAGTTTGACCTATTATCAGATTCCCTTTATTATTGATTGACCTACTATGGTTTAGATTTTATAGTTTTAAGGCATAGAGCCACCCAGGTTATTTTAGGTGACAAGCAATGATATTTACAGTAATGTTAAAGGAATGGAAATGTTGCACACCAACCAGCTAGCCTAGACTTTGGGAGTCAGGGCCTTTTGGAAACGAAGCCCATGACAGCTCAGAAGCCACAGCAGCAAAAGCAAGTGAACTTTTGTGCCATTGTTCCCCTGTGAATGTGACAAACTGTTCTCTGTCTCTCCTCTCACGGCTGCCCCATTTGCTTCACTCTGAATTTCCTGTTAATCTTAATGGGACTTTCTCCAGTCACTCATACTAGTCGTCCCTGCTAGCTTGGCTTCTCTCAATGTATTGCTTCAGCTTGAGCTCCTACTTCATTTTGCCATTCATTCTTTTCCATTCAGAATTTACTTATAGGGACTTGAATGCTGCTTTAGCCTTAGAATATTTTCTCTTATTGGGCAGAACTTTGGCATCAGCACTAGTGGCTCTACGGATAAGCTACACTTGGTTCTAGTCCTGGCCCTGGTCCTGTAGTCCATCATAAAATGAATTCAGTTGTTTGGTATAAAGCACAGTTGCTTCAGTATTCCCTTTAGAGAGAACATAGTCCAGGCAACTTCCTGGAAGAGACTTGTCAGGCAAGTGTTGTAATTGATAAATCCAGGACAATATCCTACTCTGGAGTTTCCAGTTTAAACATCTAGATTTTTACATACTAAAGTAGTGTGATGATTTATAGCCTGGTTTAGATGTGATGACAGGAAAGAACATTTTCTTGCTTAATAGTTATGACAGTAGTTATTCTCCTATCTCACAGTTTTTGTATTAAAAACAAAGAATTTGGAAGCAATTTATAATTCCAAGTAACTAAGATGATGCCAGACTCATGTTTTGATATGTTTAAAGTTATTGATTCCTTTCTAAATTCTGGGGAGTACAGTATTGGCTGCTACAAATTCAGTAGAGAACAAGGACCCCTACTTTGAGAGCTTGCTCTCCCAGTTCATACTGTTCCCTTAAACTGGGGCCTAAATCTTGTCACTGTCTAGTCAAACTGAAATCCCTGCTTCTTATACAGTTTTTCTAATCATATCTTCATAATTGAAATGTTCTTCCAACCCTCATATTTGCTCACTCTGTTCCTCACATTTCACTTGAGTTATGTGCCCCTTTTTCCTAAACATCTTATCTGAGGCCTTGGAACCATAAAGTATGGTTCCAAGAACTCTGAGGTTCTTTTCAATAATAATGTGATCTGGAAGATCACATCATACTTTATAACCTGGTCTGTTGTCTTCCAGGAGGCTGCTCACTTGGATATGGCAGCTGAATATTTGTCATCATAGCTCGTCTTCCTCCCTCTCCCTCTGACTATCTTTCTGTCCATACAGTAAAATGAGCATTTTCCCATATTTTCCTCAATGTGTCCTCTAATTCCTTACCCATAATGTGAAAGTTTTACTTTTTCAGATACATAAGATTCCTGATTATTCTGTGTTTTCAATAGGACATGAAAGTAATAAAAATTGTTTTCTTTTTTTAGCAGCAGGTGAGAACAGGATGGCGAGGTCAGCACTGCCTCCCAAGCAGAACCTTTCTAATGGATCAGAGTCACGTGATACGACATCAGGAGGGGCATGTGGGGTGATTCCTGAAGAACAAGAGTCTAGCGATGCCTGTGAGTATGCTGTGGAGAAGCGAGAAGGTCAGCCCTCAGATGAGAAAGGGAGCACTCTGGGAAGGGATTTCTTGGAAATAACACAGGAGGATAAAAAATCCACAAAAGGTGGATATGATGAATATAAGGATCCTGCTGAACCTCCAGATGTGTCCTCCAGTCCTACAGAACATCAAGGAGTTTTGAAGGGACAGAAATTCTATCAATGTGATGAATGTGGCAAGGCTTTCAATCGTAGTTCACACCTGATTGGTCATCAGAGGATCCACACTGGAGAGAAGCCCTACGAGTGTAATGAGTGTGGTAAGACCTTCAGGCAGACCTCTCAGCTCATAGTTCACCTCAGAACCCACACAGGGGAGAAGCCCTACGAGTGCAGAGAGTGTGGGAAGACGTATCGGCACAGCTCCCACCTCATTCAACACCAGAGACTCCATAATGGAGAGAAACCATATAAATGTAATGAATGTGGAAAAGCTTTCACTCAGAGTTTGCAACTCATTGACCACCAGAGAACCCATACCGGGGAGAAGCCATATGAATGCAGTGAGTGTGGGGAGTCCTTTATTCGGAGTAAGAGTCTCGTGCGACATCAGGTGCTTCACACTGGTGCGAAACCCTACAAGTGTAATGAGTGTGGGAAAGCTTTCTGTTCTAGTAGAAATCTAACTGACCATCAGCGAATCCATACTGGAGAGAAGCCTTATGAGTGTAATGAGTGTGGCAAGGCCTTCAGTCGGAGTAAATGTCTTATTCGACATCAGAGCCTCCACACTGGGGAAAAGCCGTATAAATGTAGTGAGTGTGGGAAAGCCTTTAATCAGAACTCTCAACTTGCTGACCATGAGCGAATGCACACCGGGGAGAAGCCTTTTGAATGTAATGAGTGTGGGAAGGCGTTCAGCCTGAGTAAATGTCTTATTCGACATCAGAGACTTCACACAGGTGAAAAGCCCTATAAATGCAATGAGTGTGGAAAATCCTTCAATCAAAACTCACACCTCATCATACACCAGAGAATTCATACTGGTGAGAAACCATATGAATGTAATGAGTGTGGGAAGGTCTTCAGTTATAGCTCCAGTCTCATGGTCCACCAGAGAACCCACACTGGGGAAAAACCCTATAAATGCAATGACTGTGGGAAAGCCTTTAGTGACAGCTCACAATTGATTGTACACCAGAGAGTTCACACCGGAGAGAAACCTTATGAATGTATTGAGTGTGGCAAAGCCTTTAGTCAGCGTTCCACATTTAATCACCACCAGCGAACTCACAGTGGAGAAAAGCACTCAGGTCTAGCCCGGTGAGCATCTTAACACATGATTCTCCAAGAGAGAGAACAGGGAACTCTGAGTTGAGCTTTCTTTATGAGAAAGATACTCAACTTATTCTCCTCTTGGAACCACTAAAAAAACATTCCCCAAGTTCCCTGTTGGGTCATGAAGGTTGGAGAGAGGGATGACAGGGCAATCCTTTTTTATTAACAGGAAAGTAGGACTACGTACTTTATTTACTTACAGGTTATTTTAGGTTTTTATAAATGTGAAGAATTATCTCTTTTTCTGCATCCCATATGGAGATATTGTTTTTCTTATTTCATCTTAAATGTTTGATTTCATTCTTTTTTCTCTTGACTGTGGCCCTTCTTTTCTACTTTTTTAATCTCTGATCTGTTCTTAACTATCCTCACTTGTGTTTCCAGCTCCAAAAATTTTTCTTCTTCCCAGTCTTTTTTCCTCAGTACCTTAGATCCAGCACATATCTGAAATTCTTTTATTTTTTTAAATAGGTATTTTATCCCTCTTAAATTTCTTAAACATCTATTCCTTTGACCTCAGTGCTTTGAATTAGTTGGTGCTACAGTGTCCAACTATTGCTAAGCTGTAAATTATCCTCAACTTCATGTGGAAGTGTATACTTTCAAAACAAGGTTTGTGGTTCATTGCACTGCATATGGCATCTATTCCTTTAGCATATAGATAATTTTGTATACTACTTGTTTAATAAGTACTTTTTAAAAACTCAGCTTTCCAATGACCCATCCTTAAATTGTCATTTCCATCTTTAGAAGGCACAAAAAATACCTACATCTTTCTACTCCCTGACCATCACCACCAGACTAGAACCTTCTAAAGATGGAACTGACATTGTGTGCAGTGGCTTCATGGACATCTTCTACATGTACTCCTGGTATTCTCACTGCTATTACTCTTTGTTGGTTTCTGAGTATACTGTGCTATTGTGTTTAGGAAGTTTCCTCCTTTTTTCTACTTCTAGAAGAAACAATATACTGAAGCAATTAAGAGTATAGTTTTTGTGCCTGGCACTATAGATTCATATTCTGGCCCCACTACTTTCTTAGGTGTGGGCACATCACTTGGCTTCTGTGTCTCACTCTCCCATGTCTGAAATGAAGCTACCTCATAGGACCATGGAGATAAAGTTAGTTGTTAAGTGTTAGGCACTTAAAACTGCCTGGCACGTTGTTCACTCTCTAGCAGCAATTATTATAAGTTTTTATTAGAATGGTTGCTGACATCGCTTAAGTTTTCCAAATAATTTATTGATAATATGGTTCACATCCTGTATTCTTTTTGTAAATTCATTTTCTGACAAGTGTCCAAATAATGGAAGTTTCCTTGCACTCCTGAATAAAATAATTTGTGATTATTTTTAAGTATAGAATATATTGAATTTACTAAGGCTTTGTTGACTTTGCAAAATGTATTTGGACAGTTTTTCTTTTTCACTCTCGAAGAGTTTCCATGTTGGAATTATTCTTAGAAGTTGAAAAGCAATTGAGACTGGTACTTTGGGTGTCGTGGAGAGGAAATTGGGAAGAATAAATGCTAACTATTTTCAATTCTATGTTTATGCTTTTTAGGTTTCTACCTCTTAATTTGGTGTTATCTACAAATTATCACTTTTGTTGAAAGCACCTAGCATTTTATAAAAAGCTCTTTCACTCCTGTAGAGTTCCTTCTACATACCTATTTTTTATATTTTGGTGTCCATTCAATTTTTCTGTCATGATTTCCAGGTTTATTTTGTTCCTCTTTGTAATTCCTTTTTACTGCCACAAGTTATAATGACTTTCCATTAACCTTATATTTCATTTGGTGTTTTCCTCAATAATGAGGACTTTATAGTCCTGATATTTGACTCCAGATATGGAAAGTGGATATTCTTTTAATCCATTTGTATCCAAGTGGATGCTATTAAAACTGTTTAGATCTAAAGTTAGATGGTTAGCTTTAAATTTGCTTTTTTAACTTGTGCATCAGCAGTGAAGAAATAAAGGGATGGTTCAGTGTTTTGGTAATCTGACTGAAAGTCTTCCACATAAGGGCTGCTTCTTGTACCTAGCTTTACTTTAGGTTCAGCTCTCATTTTGTGGCCAGTATAGCCTTTTTCCATTTTCTCTGTAAAATAGCTTTGTTGTAAAGAAACTTAAGTCTCAGCTATCCACAGCCACTGCAGCACGAGTCTGATCCCCAGCCAAGGTGCTGACCCACATGGTGCAGCAGACCTCTCCTGTCTCACCCACTGCTCCCCTCAGCAGGGTATTTCAGTGGATCTACCTGTTCTGCACCCCACTCCATAGCTGGTGAATCCTCTTACCCCCTTCCCCAACCTCTGGACTATACCTTGTTCTTAGATGTATAAATAAATAAAATTAATCTTTAAAAAACCCTTAATGTGGAAAAGTCTTCAGTCACTTCAGACTTTTATCTTGTCTCAGCAACTCGAAACAGAAGAGAATATTTTGAGATGAGTTTTAGAAATCATTCAGTTGTACAAATCACTGTCCATCAGAGACTACACTTATAAGAGGTCCTGTTTATGTGATTTTCAGAAAGTCTTGGTTGTAAATTATTTCTTGTTTGATATCAGAAAATCTACATGGTTTTGAGCCCTATTTTGAATTTTGGAAAGCAAGAAAACATAAATCCAAAGTTTCCATTGTTTTATATTTCTGAAACCTTCCTGAAATGTGTGCCAAAAGAAAGTTCTTAGTTATAGCACATAGTTTCTTCTTCATCCATGAACCTACTGTGCAGAAAATAGCTACCTATAAACAGTGCAAGAAATTTCCAAAATTGTTTTTAGAAATCAGAATACCCAGGAGATAGATCCTGGTATCAAATATGGTAGAGTTGCTAGGAGCTGAACCCTTTCCTCTTCCACATACAAAGAAAATACTCCACAGCTATACTTTGTGTTCCCAATTCTGGTATTCAATTTTTAAATCCAATTGGAAAGGTCAGCAGCTACAAAAACAGTATCTGTGGTCACAAGTGTAACTGTGCAGTTGTGCAACCATAGGCAAGTGACTTCTTGTATCTAGGCTTTAATTTATCTGGAAAACAAGAATATTCCGCTTTAAGATTATTCTGAGGCTAAAGTTAATTGATGCCAATAATACTTTTATAACTTGTAACACAGTATACATAACAGTAAGAAAGCCACATTCACTTTCGCTGTTTTAGTTTTAAAGATTTGTTTTTATTTATGCATACAAGACCTGGGGTGTAGAACAGAGACAAAGAAGAACAGTCAGATCCACTGAAATACACTGCTGAGCAGAGGTCTACTGCACCATGTGGGCCAGCTCCCTGTTGGCGATGACTGCAGTAGCTGGAGATAGTTTGATAGTGCTGAGACTTTAACCCCTAAACCATCAGAGAGACCCCATTTTTTATACTTCTTAAATTTTGAGAAACATAGCCCCTATCTCAGGAATAATTGTTTTCTTAGAACAAAGCCCTAGAAACGGAATTTCAAGATCTGAAATTATGAGCATTAGGCATTCTCTAAGGTCTATTTGTTACATTTGGTTCCAAATGTACTGTGTAGACAGTACCCATTCTGTCTTGTCAGCACAAGTGAAGATTGTTAGGGTACCCCACTCAGCACTCCTGCCAAGTCTGTCACCTTTAGGTGGTAGAAGTAACTGAGTCGTGAACTGCAATTCAAATAGTCCTTTGGCAAGGCAGGGAAAATGAGGAATATTCTTTTCTTGAGGAATAATTTCACCAGAAATTCACAAGTGGGCAAGCTTTCTGCCATATCTGAGTCTTTTCTGGTGCTATTTTCGGGTCTATTTTAATTATAAAATTTTTAATTTCAAAACTTAATTTCTCTATTTTTTTTAACCATGGAATTCAACTCTTCTGAGTGTGCTGTACCCACCTCCCTATAATCTGAGTCATCTTTGTTTTCTACATCATCTTCTGCCGCTATGACAATTTCAAATTCAGGAAGCCATGATCTGGAGCTGTTTTGCCCAAATTGTCTGACTGTGTACAAGTCTGCTTATGTCCCAATCTCCATCCAGTCTAGAATCTGCTTCTTACTACAATCATGTACCTGTAACATCTGGAGCATGTTTTAGGGTCTAAGTAACAACAGATCCTGCAGTGAAGAGCAGCTGGCTTGCATTGGGGGTACAGAGAGTCTCCAGTTCTGGGGAGTATCCTCAGGTGGCTTATATGTGAAAAAGTCACTTTTCCTGGGTAGACGATTCTTAAAAATGGGCAGGCTGGTGCTACATGGAGGGGTAACTTAGAAGAGGCTGTGGTGGAGGGTGACTGGCTGGGCAGCACAGCTGGAGCAGGAAGGTGAGTGGCCAGTTGCAGAGTGTGTAGGACTACACCCAGCCACACCACTGCCCGCCCCATGGAGTGAAACTTTCATATAAGGATACTGTCAGAAAGACTAAGGACTGAGAGCAAGAAATTCATAACTTACAGTAACAATTTTCTTGACTCCTTTCATATCTGATCACTAAGTAACCTGAACCTGTGTGTATGGGGTGGAGGAGGGGAGGTAAGATCACAGCACTCTTCAGGCCTAAAACCTTCCAGTGTCATTTGGGATATATCCAGAGCCCTTTGGGCCTGTTCAAATCATGTCCTGATCCAGGCCTTTGCTCTTAATGTTTTAGATAAAAGGAACACTCTTCCCCCAGATACACACCTGTCTCAATCGCCACTTCCTGTCTCTGCTTTTCCTGTTTATAATTATTCACACTGTGTGCTCTCTTCCCATACTACTACTGCATTCTTCATATTTAACCAGTATCTTTCCTGGACCTCAAGTTAAGCCAAATGGAACAGGTAGTTCATTTCTTCCAACTCTTTATGTCAGTGCCTAGACAGTGACATAGTATAAACCAGGTAAGTGTTTTTGTATGCTTTAGATAAATGGTAGCTGGTCCTGGCTTTGCAGTTGAAAGGCACGAGATCTGGAGAAAGAAGACATTTCCACTCGGCATGCAGAGCTAGGAGTTTGACTCTGGCGAACCTGTGTTCGAGAGAGGCGTCCTTTTGGCCCAGTTGATTGGTGGTTCTTCCCGCCTTAGCCCAAGTCTGTTTCTAGTCTCCGCTCTTTGCATTGGCTGAACCCTCAAGTCTTTTCATCCTCTCTGCCAATGGTCGGTCACAACCGGAGCCGAAGGCGTGACCGAAGCGCTGGCAGTTGAGCGGCGGGTCTGCAGGGCACCGAGATGCGGAGCCCTCCCGATGCCTAGAAGGGCCGGAGTATTAAGATGGGTGTTATTGGTGAGTCAGTGACGTAGTTCCTTCTCCGCTTTGTTCCAAGATGTGGGTCGGGCGCTTTCGTTGAGGGGTATGTGGCAGGCGGGCGTGAGATTTCGGGACGGTTTCTGGGGTGTGTGGGGGGGCGAGGGGTTGGGGGGACACAGGTAGTGAGCCAGGTCCACATGGCTGCCCGCTGCGGAGTCTGGAAGCGGCGGCTCCAGGGTCGCCTTGAGCCCTGCCCTTCCCTCGTTTGGCGCTGCCTTTTGTCTTGGATCTCATCTCGCACTCGACCTAGCTGCTTTCTCGGGTCAGGCAGATAGTAGCGATAGAACTGTGCCATCCCTCCCCCTAGCCTGTGACCGCCTTGCAGGTAGGGGTCGAGATTCCCTCCAGGTTCTCAAAGGACTACCAATCTTAAATATCACCAATCCAGTCCGTTGAGAGTACAGAGCCTTGGCCAAGATTTGTCATTCATTGATTCATCATCCAACAGATACACACTTAACTAGTGTGTTAGGTCCAGGCTTATAGTGTGAGCATTATAGCGGAACTATATATTCTGGTAGGGATGGAGTGGAACGAGCTTGAAGGGTTAGAAGCAGCGTCTGAGAGTCTGGAGAGGGACACAAAATATTTGAGGCTTAGTAACCCTAAGAGATGGGTAATAGGGAGAGGTGGGGAGAAGGTTCTCCTAGTGTTCCTTTATATTCTATGTCTTCCTATCACTCTAAAGACGTTTAGATTTAGTAGAGTTCTTTCATCCCCCTTCTGTAAACTTTACGTGGAAAGTTAGTTGGGTTGCAGAGACTATCTCAGTTGAAATGTGCTTTACAGTTCAAGAATATGGGGGTGAAAAGGAGTGACTCTGTCATATGGGAATGAGAATTTCCTTCAGACACAGACTTGACTCCCATTAATCATAAGAACTTTGGCAGGTTACATATCTGGAAGCATCATTTCCTCGTCTTTAAAATGTTGATCATCCTTATTGCTCAAGTTTCATTAATATTAGAAGAGATGTTTCCGGGGGTTGGACACTGCCTTAGGTGCCTGGTTTACACAGAGCTGAGATGTCAGAGAGTTCCAGCATTTCTGTTTACCGAGATTTAAGACCCCATTAGGAACGTCCTCACCAAACCCAAGGAAGAGATCTGTGCAGGGTAGACCTCTGGAGTGAGGCTGTCTGTGCCAGGCAATTAAGACCTACTTTGTGAAATTAGGTAATCTGGGGATAGGAATCTTCCCTGTTAGAGAGGTAACAAAGGGACTCAGGTTGAAAGGGAGCATTTCTGATAGCCATCATGGAGTAAAGAAGCAGAGAGGTGGGAAGGGAGATGTAGAACTCAAAATTGAGAAGTAGAGTTTGGGAATAAGAGGAAGTGAGATGCACTAGAACTCGAATTTGGTTGTCCGGAAATTTGAACTCGTGTCCCAGGTTAACTATAAGTTCCAATTTCCCCATTTCTGTATTTTAATAGAAGACAGGTAGTCTAGGAGGTCTTTATAGGTGAGACATTCTGAGATGCTCAGAGTAGTTGGAGTAAGTTTCTCTACTAGGGAGCCTATGTAATCAGATGACCTAGTTAGGACAGAATTGCCTAGAATGCAAATATACTGTCCTGGTGTTCAGACAATATGAAGCATAAAAGGGATGAACAGGGCCCTCCCTGGTGGTGCAGCAGGTTAAAGCACAGCACTAAGAAGCTAAAGCTGCTTCAGCATGAGTTCAATCCCCAGCCTCAGAGGTGACCCACATGGCGCAGCAGACCTCTCCTGACCTGCCCGCTGCTCCCCTCAGCAGTGTACTTCATCAGTTGGCCTGTTCTGCTCCCCAGAATCCTCTCTGGTGAATCCTCTCACTGACCCTGCACCTCAGGTCTGTACCCCAGTTCTGTATGCATAAATAAATAAATCTTTTTTTAAAAAAGGGGGGATAAGTAAGAGGGGACGATGGTGGTCACAAATGTAGAGAATGACTTCTTAACATCCTACACCTGACAAAGTTAGATATAACCCAGAACCTGTCACACCAAACAACTTTTATTGGACCCTCTTTGTGCCAGGTATCGTGTGGGGTCACATAAAACCATCATGTGCCCTGCTGTTTGAGAGTTTGGATCTAAGTGTGTACAGGTGAGGAGGAGGAGGGAGACAGACGTACACAACAGTAATAAAGGAACTTGAGTCTAATAAGGGAACGTGGGTCTGTAGCGGTGGTTCTGAAGTATAAAAAGTTTTACACTGTCATATGTCAGATGTTGTGTTATGGAATGCAAATATACTGTCCTGGTGTTCAGACAATATGAAGCATAAAAGGGATGAACAGGCCCTCCCTAGTAGCACAGAGGGTTAAAGCACAGCACTAAGAAGCTAAAGCTACTTCAGCATGAGTTCAATCCCCAGCCTCAGAGGTGACCAAGGTATCAGCCTTTGTTTTATGCCCAAGATGTAGACCTTCCTCTGTCTTGAGTTCACAGGGCTCCCTGATCTTTTTTTCTCAATGCTTACATTTCACTTTCTGTCTCTCTGGAATTTATTTTCAGGTATTGCCTCTTACTCCTCATTCCATTGCGGGGACCATGTGACTGCTGCTCAGGGTATGTGAACAGGCAGGTGCTGCTGGCAAATAAAGGAATACAACCTCGCTAGGTAAAAAACACCTGCCTGTCTGTCTCTCACAACTGGACTCTGTGGTTTCCTCATAAACTGAATGGTGTTGCTAAGATCAAAACACTCACCCATTAGTCTCACAGATTTGTGGCTTAGAGGTCTGTGGGGCCTCGCTGGTCTTCATCCATTGCTGTTGGCTGAGAGTGTGCTTTTGTGCACAATTACCTGGATATAGTGCCCTGCTTACCCTGTATGACACTGCCACTTCTGAGCTGTGAGCTCCAACCTCCAAGTTCTCTTCTTGCTTCACACTTCAGAGTGTGACTCAGTTTATCAGAAGGCTGAGACATTGGAAATTGGTCAAACTTACTTGAGAAGTAGTAGGCAGTCCTATAAAACAGTTTCATTCCTTCTGACTCAGTAACTTATTTATAAAACCTTTACTTTAGGCATATTCCATTGAAAAGAAAATGTTATATGTGTAAAGTGATCATGATAATAGTATTGATTAAAACTCAAAGAATAACAGCAATGTCTAACACTAGCAAAATTGTAGAAAAATGATAAGGTCAGTCAGTGGTATATTATGTAATCATTAAATGATCATATGAAGATTAAATAATGTAGAAAATACATAAAAATTTAAGTAGAAGTCAGATTCAAAATTATATCTTCGTATATTAATAATTTTAGAAGGGTAGATATGGGTAAGTCTGAAAAGAAAAATACTTCAAAGAAAATTAGTCATGCTTTTGTGCCATGAAGTCAACTTTCAGTTTTTCTTTAATTACCCAACCTCCTCTAGATTTGAAATCTGCTAATAGGTTATCCATCCAGTTTCACATCAAACCAGTTGAGAAATTTCTGCACATTCATTAGTTCCATGTACTAACCTCTCTTGGCTGTGCCATTTCCTGCTATTATCCTTTTACCAGATACTTCGCATTCAGATTCTTTATCATTATTCCATGTGAGATTCTGTCAGAGACTCTCCTCCCATGCTTTAATTCTCTTATTCCCCAATTCAGCTTCTCAAGTTTTCATGCAAGACTCAGTTTGTCAGAGTGCTACCTTGGTGAGAAAAGCACTCACTGAACTAAGCACCCTGCTGAATCCAATTACAGACCAACCTTTAGCTGATCGTTAAAGGAACTGAGCTAAGGAGTAGGTCAACAAGAACTAAAAGTCAAAATGACCTGAAGATTAGTCATTTGAGCAACTAAACTAAAGGACCTTTCAATTATTATTATTATTTAGGATTAGATGCCTCCCAATCTGGGAAGTAAAGCATGAGACAAGAAAAAAGCAGGCTGCTACTTTTTGACCTTGTGCTGGATCTGTTGGCTACTGTTAGTGACGCAGTAATATCTCAAGCCTTAGACTCCCAGCCAGTAATGGAACCCATGCCACAGTGGCAGCACTAAGACCCAGCCATGCAAAGCTATATAAAGGAATTTACAGACATTTTAGATAAATAAGCAGAGAGAGAGAGACAGACTTTGTTTAAGAAAGTAAAGAAAAGAAGTTAGGACTCCCAAGTATTCTGCACATGGGAGAGGCCAGAAAGCCATTGAGGGGACATTTCTGGGGTATTTAAACCTTTTTTTCCTCTCTGTTCTAAATCTCATCATTTTATTTTGTGATTGGCCTTTTCCCCAGTGCCACACTCCTCCAGGCAGATGTGCCCATTTTCTTTTCTTTTTTTTTAAAAGATTTATTTATTTGTGCATACAGAACTGGGGTACAGGCCAGAGGTGCAGGGGCAGTGAGAGGATTCACCAGAGATAGAGTGAGGAGCAAAATAGGCAGATGTGATGAAGAACACTACTGAGGGGAGCAGCGGGCAGGTCAGGAAAGGCCTGCTGCACCATGTGGGTCACCTCCAGGACAGGGATCGAACTCATGCTAAAGTGGCTTCAGCTGCACAGTGCTGTGCTTTAACCCTCTGCGCTACCAGGGAGGGCCATAAATGTGCCCATTTTCTCAGCTCTTATCCTAGAGTTTACCTACTCTGCCCAAGGTCTTACTTTCTCACATTTTACTGTCTTTGTTTAGTCCTACTGGACTTTCTGACCTCATTTCTGGACTATATTTTGGTTAACACTTTTTAGAATTGTCTTTATCTTAGAAGTTCCTTGCCTGCACTGTCCCTGCAGCTGTCTACTTAAGTCTGACTTGGCCTGGGACTCATTAGCCTTTGGCTTTCCATAGCCTTTACCTTAGCCTCTGCTAACCTCATTTTTCTCACCTTTTTCAATCAGTTTCTCCCAGTTTTGAATATTTACCGTGTGGTCTATCTTATCTTGTTATATTGGATAATTCCCCCTTCAGTGTAGAGAACAGGTGACATATGCAGTTTCTGTTTTTCCTGTCAGATGGTGGGACTGAGAAGATTTTGATTCCAAAATATTATTCCTGACAAAAAGCAGAATCTAATCTCTTACTCCACAGAGCTCCTGCCAAGAAAGTAAAAATTTAGAAAGTCCGTGTGAGAGTAAAGACTCAAGAAGCCACTGGGATGCTGCAAGCCAGAGAAAATGAGAAGAAAGACAAGAAACTTCAAACATAAGACAGTTAAAGACAATAAAACAGTCACAGAAGTGCGTGTCCAAGAATCTGAAAAAGATGATAGCAGCTATTCTGACCCTACAACAAACGAGAGAATTCAGGCTGAAAAGAAACAGTATGTATGTCCTGAGTGTGGGAAAGCCTTTAGTCAGAGTGCAAACCTTACGGTACATGAGCGAATCCACACAGGAGAGAAACCCTACAAATGTAAGGAGTGTGGGAAAGCTTTCAGTCATAGCTCCAATCTTGTTGTCCACCGGAGAATCCACACTGGACTGAAGCCCTACAAGTGCAGTGAATGTGGGAAATCATTCAGTGGTAAGTCACACCTCATTCGGCACCAAGGAATCCACAGCGGGGAGAAAACTTTCGAATGTAAGGAGTGTGGAAAAGCCTTTAGTCGAAGCTCAGGTCTTATTTCCCATCACAGAGTTCACACTGGGGAGAAGCCCTACACTTGTATTGAGTGTGGGAAAGCCTTTAGCCGTAGTTCAAACCTTACTCAACATCAGAGAATGCACAAAGGAAAAAAAATTTACAAATGTAAGGAATGTGGGAAAACATGTGTTTCTAATACAAAAATTATGGACCATCAGAGAATTCACACAGGAGAGAAGCCTTATGAGTGTGATGAGTGTGGAAAAGCTTTCATCTTAAGAAAAACCCTTCATGAACATCAGAGACTTCATCGTAGAGAGAAACCTTACAAATGTAATGAGTGTGGGAAAGCTTTCACTTCTAATCGAAACCTCATTGATCACCAGAGAGTTCACACTGGAGAGAAACCCTATAAATGTAATGAATGTGGAAAAACCTTCAGGCAGACTTCTCAAGTTATTTTGCATTTGAGAACCCACACTAAGGAGAAACCTTATAAATGTAGTGAGTGTGGGAAAGCCTATCGCTACAGCTCCCAGCTTATTCAACATCAGAGAAAACATAATGAGGAGAAAGAAACCTCATAGGTCACATATTGGTGGTAATAGAAGTAATACCTACTTTTTGGAAAAGCAGGTTTTTGATATTATCGATCTTAATTCTACTTCTAAGAACTCACAGGGAAAATAATCAGAAGTAGATAAAGATTTAACGGAAATAATACTCATGCCAGATGGTATACAACTAAAAGAAGAAAACTAGATCATCAGCATTATGGGGTCTAAATGAATGATGGTCCAGCCATATGATGGTTTTGCAGCTGTTATGAACATTTTTAAAGGGTATGTAATGCCATGGGTGAAATAATCCATGTGGATAAAATGGAAGATAAAGTATGATCCAATTTTTTAAAACACTTAGGTATGAGAAAAGAGAAGAAATAATATCAAACCAAAATTTTAACAGTGATTTACACTGGATGATGGAATTATAAGTGATTTCTATTTTTTTCTTTATGCTTTCTAGATTTTCTACAAATGAGAATGTACTACTTTTATATTCAGGAAGAAGTACAGTATTTTTAAAATGCAACAATTACATACTCACTTTTACTTAACTCATAGCACGTAGGCTCTATTGAAAGGTAATACTGGCACCAAGTAGCAGTGGAAGCAGGAGCAGATCGATTCCTTTCAGAGCCTGTTTCCTGTGTAGTAAAATCAAGCAAATCCATTTCATCACCATTATGTTAAAACAACACAGCAAAAACTTACTATAGCCTCCTCTCCCACATTATAAGATCTGCAGATTAAAAGAGCCACCACATCTTTTCAATGTATATCCACAAAAGTAGAAAAAAAAAAGCACTCTTAAGAAACTAAAACAACTGCTGTTTCATAACCTATTAAGAGAGCCAGTCAGCGTCATCTGAATTTCGCAGAAGATTCTGCCTATGTGATGCTTAGTAGCTAAAGTGCAGGCTTTAGGATCAGAGACAGGTGTTCTAACCTCAGATCTGCCACACTGGAGTTTGTCAGTTTTGGTTGCAAGATGGTGTGAGAACACATAAAAGCTCCCGTTTCTCAATCCAGCCTCCCTCTGTTTTATATTGAATCCTTACATCTAAATGCTATTTGTCTTTTGTACAAAGTAATTATTATTTCAGGAATTGAGAATCTGTCATCCCATGTAATCCTTACCATTGTACAAGAAAATAGAATCTCAGTGAGGTTAGGTGACTGTTCAGTAAGTGATCAGAGTAAGGATTTGAATTCAGATCGGACTTCGAAGTCCATGCTTTCTTCATTAAACCAAAGTGCTTCTGCCTGCCATGGTGGTTCATATGTAAGTGAGAGACCAATATGGATTGTCCTGGGTTGTCCCCTCCAGGAAAGGTGGTTATAGCTGGACAATTATTTCATCATGGTTTCATAAGGAATATGTCAGTCTTCTCTTGAGTTAGACTTATGGCCTATCTCTGCATCTTAGTTTAATTTAGTTCAAGGATGATATATTTCATCTTTGCTGTTACTGGAAGAAAAGAAATGGAAGGTGTAAGTATATATGTGAATAGGGATTGTTTGATTTTGTCCTATTTTAATAGGATAGTGGCTTACAAGTAATTTTGTGATATAAAAGAGTCTTTTTGCATAATTATTGAAAGCAAAGTTTGGAGGCCCTGGAACAGATCTGCTACTTGGAGGGGCAGGACTGTTGATCATCAGTTATCCCTGTACCTGTACTTCCTCAGGGCACAAGGGTAGGATAACCCACATCTGACAGCAGTAAAGGTGTTTCCATCATTTCCCCCTTATTACGAGCCCTTTTAAAATTAAAGAACAGGTCTGTATTCCACAACTCTTGTCATGCCAGCCATCCTTACCTGCTGTTACCTGCATGGAAACGGCCCATGGTGGATGTCTAGTGTTCTTTCTTAACCTACTTTAGAAAACAGGCAATTGACTTATCCTATGTGCCTCTCAGGGTTATTTTTTGAGCATTTGTTATTGCTGAGCAGGTATTCTCTGAGCAAAACATTTCCCCATCACTGTGCCAGTGTCAGAAATTCTTCAAATAGCTTTTTCATTTTAAAAGACTCTGTGGTCTTGAGAATAAAGAATTCCTAGCAAGGATACCCCTGAGATATGGATACAAATCCTGGCATTTCTTGTGCCAGGTGGGCTAAGATAACAGACCCATCTTCTAGGCTGATACCTGTCTTGAGCTGCAGGAATAAATGTGGGGTGGTCCTTGTACTTTGTCAGATAAATATTCCACAATATAATAGGCAAGTGATTGCCTATCTTCCAGGAGTTTTTCAAGACTGTAAGCAGTATGCTTAGCCAGACAGTTTCTCCCATCCTTTCAAGCCCTTTCATGATGTCTGGAGTTCAGGGTCTATTTTTTTTTTTAACTTCCTGTTCTAGTGGAAACCTGGTTTTCTAACAGCAGTGTTTTCTGTTCAATCTCTCAATTCCTAATTTCTGTCACCCTCAAGTTATGTTGATTTCTGTTCTGCCAAATCTTCTAGCTCTTTTGAAATAATGTAGCGCTAGACATTTAGTTTCTTACTATTCCTGTTCTTGTCTTTCACTGGCTTCTTATGCTTATGTTTTTAGGACCCTGAATATTCCTGAGGACTATGAAAAGGTAGCAGTGTTAACCACAGACATCCTATCCTGGTTGTATAGAATTGTTCTTGTGTGGGATAAATATATCCTGTTTTAGTTGAGAGAAAATGTGTAAAATGAAAGCATATTTTATATCTAGCTTTGATTGAAGGGAAATATGAAAGACAAAGAATCCTGCATAGAGTGAAGTGTCTCCCTAGCCTTAGTCAGATATTTTCCATTGATGGTGTGTACTGTGTTCGGTCATATTTGGAGCTAAGAAGAAAACCAAAACTGAAGAGAGTTTTAACTGAGTCATTCCACTGAATCTAAATCCCATATGACTAAATTTCATTTGAACTCTGTGTTCTCAATTTAAATAAAATATATACTGTTAGATTGTGTTTAGAAACTAGACTGTCTATTCACCTCTGATGTTATAACACCAGAGTCACCCAAAATTTTTTGACAAAATAGTTCTAATTTTACCAATAAATATCTGTTAATTTTAAATATCACTGATTTTTGTCCTTCTGCTTCCTTTGTTGGGAATGAGAAAACAGTCCAACTTATTTTTCTTTTTAAGCAACAAACTACTTTTATAATAAACTGATTCTGGCTTGTTTCTGATTCAAATATAACATGATGTTTATTTTCTAGTTTAGAATACATAAAGGAGAGCCCTCTAGCTGTTAGAAAGTATCCTTTGATTTCCTTGGGGGGAATTATACATCTGGTTTCTGTCTCCCCCCCACGCTCCCTAGTCTCGTTTCTATTTCAAACCTGGACTATTATGTAGACTCCAACTGGCTGTATAAAACCAGCCATGTTCCCTGCAGCCCTTTCCCATTCCAGAAGGTAGGTTTATGAGGGGGAGAAAAAGAAATGACAGACAGGCCCCTTTCTGGGAATCAAATACAGGACCTATATAATTCTCATTCCTCTGTCTCACCATTTCAAACTAATATATATCTGACTGTATAGATTGTAGTACATGCAAAAACTAGTCAGTCTTGAAACTCAGCCCATTGGACTCCAGATCTGCGGATCTCAAATGGTAATTACATACAAACTAAATTCCCAGGCCCACCAAAGTACTAGATATAGCTATACTTTTTTATCTAGGTGAATTAGCTGCTTCTGATTTGCTCAGGACAAAACTGGTCCCAGAACAGATGACATTTAATATCTGAGCCAACTGCTCTCTGTGGAAATTCTGAATTGGGAGTACATAAAAATAAGCTAGTTAAGAGCAGGAAATAAAGCTGAAATCATATATGCAAAGAAGCCAACCAATTAGGGGCCACAGCCAAGAGAAAGTATGAGATAGGCATTATAATGAACGTGAAAGTATGAGGGAGAAAAAGACTTAGAAGAAGATGAGCGGTAATGGGAGAAGCAGAAAGGAAAAACAAAGAGCAGCCAGGTTACATTCACAGTGGAACACAGATCAAGATTCATTTACTTTTGTTGGCTGAGATTCCCAGACAACCCTGCATTAAAGTGCATTCTACAGTAAGTTTTTGAAGCTCACTCACCTGTGTTTTTGGATACCAAAGTCCTATTTACTTATAAGTTTAAAGAAGTGGCTTCAGGATTCTCTGGCACAAGGTAGTCTTCAGTCAGAATAACACATAGATGTTCACAAAACTGGTTATGTGTAAGCACACACCTTATCTGAGTTTTAAAAGTTGATTATAAGCCCTCCCTGGTGGCACAACAGGTTAGGACCCAGCACTGCAAGCTAGCTGCAGCCACTTCAGTGCAAGTTTGATCCCTGGTCCTGGAGGTGATCCACATGGTGTAGCAGACCTCCCCTGTCTTGCACACTGCTCCCCTCAGCAGTGTGTTTCATGGATTGATCTGCCTGTTCTGCTCCCCACTCTGTCTCTAGTGAATCCTCTCCAAGCCCCTGCATCTCTGGCCTGTATCCCATTCTACATACATATATAAATCTTAAAAAAAAAAAGTTGGTTTTATAAGTTCCTCCAAAAGCAGCCTGAGATAATGGGAGATAGGTTATTTGGGAAATGATCTCAAGAAGCAGAAGGGAGAGTGCAGGAAGAATAAAAGGCAAGGAGGAAAAGCCAATAAAGAGTGAGTTATTCCTGCAAAGAACTTAGCTGAGAATTTCTTACCAAAGGATGGCAAGGTTGGGCATTTATGCACCAATTCTTACTTGTCCTTCTTTTACGGTTATCCTTGGGAATATTTTCTCCCACTTCCACGTTGTGCTTGAGACCTGGTTGGGCTGACTTCTGAAGCTTCAGAGAAAGGTCTTCAGAGGAGCAAAATTACCTGAAATGTCATGAGGCACGGTTGAGATGGGAGGCTGTCAAGAAACCATTTTCAAGAGTTAAATCCCAGGTAGGCAGAGGTGATTGTGGTATGCAGAACAAATGGCATGTTCTTTAGGCTATAAGCAGAAGCTGCTTTTAATGCTGGACTTAAGAAATTTAGTTTCTACAAATACTCCCGTCACTTGAGCAGTAACTGTCAATACTTCCATTATTTCTCAAAACTTAAAAGAAATCATCTGTGCGCTATCATAGACAGGGAAGTGCCTCAGTTAGATTTTGCTCTGCTTCCCAGACAGCCGCTTCTAAAGCAGGGAGATAGTAGACTGACCAGAATTACCACTTTGAAGCCTCTCCAATGCCCATATGGTACAAGCCTTGATATCAGGTCCAACTCCTTCAGGAGGCAATAACCACCCTGAGGGCTTGGGCCATGTTAGCACCTCTGCATCCTTTGGGTCTGGGATGCAGCAGCTTCTACTCCGTGGTTTCGAGCTCCCCTCTCCTAAACTGTCCCCCTGTAGGAAAAGCAAGGAACCATAGAGAGGTGGTTTCCTAGAGAGCAGGGGAGGGGGAGAAGTGGTGAGCAACCGGAAGTCGCGGTACCAGTGGCTCAGCCATTGCTCTGGGTCTACGCCGTCGTCGCAGCCAGTATCCGTGTCACCTCCCGGCGTCCCGCCGCCCAGGCGTCGATGCCCGGGGCAGTAGCGACGGCCGGGCCCCAGGTGAGCGGGTGAGCGCGGGCCAGGTGGGCATGCGCAGAGGGGGCTCCGGGGTACGGGCTGGAATTCGCCAGGGCAGCGCCCGGGACGCTGGCGGCCCCTCGGCAGCGACCCCCGGCGTTGCCCTGTTCTGCCCTGTGTTGGGGTGGCCTCGACTGGGGCCTGCCGCGTCCTCCTGGGGAAAGTATTGAGGCCGGTACGTCTGAGTCGTGTGTGTCTCTGGTGCTCGAGTCACCGGCTCTTAATGTGGCACTTAACTAATTGAAGGGCAACCTGGTTCCCCAACTCAGGCCTTACTGTTCTTCCTCAGTCTTCCCTAAGCTGATGCAGAGTGTTGGCTCCCACACTTCTGGGGACTTTTCCCCCACTCCCCAGTTTTTTTTGTTTTTGAGGGACGAACCATTTCCCATCTTTAATTCAGTAATAGCATGGTATTTAAAAAAACGAACGTACACCACCCGAGCCACGATTAAGTGAAGAAAATGTACTTTAATGCTAAGTACAGGCTTAGAATAAATGCTGTTATTGGCAAGAAAGGCAGTGGCCAAAAAGACAGCGACTGTCTACAGTTTGTACAGTTTGCCAGAGTAAAGCTTTATAGTGAAGTAGCAATAGTTTTGGAAACTATTGCTTAGACGTTTGGCTTTCAGAAGTCTTTTTTAGATGGAAGTATTTGAACTTCTGGAAATAAAAATCCCTGAGTTCACAATTTGCTCCCACAGCTTAACTAGTCAAGTGGCCTTGAGAGAATTGCTTAGCTTCTCTGAGTCTTTTTTTTTTTTTTTTCAAGATTTATTTATCTATGCATACAGGAGCTAGGAGTGCAAGCCAGAGATGGAAGGTGTGTTTGAGAGGATTCACCAGAGACAGAGTGAGGAGCAGAACAGGCAGATCCACTGAAATACATTGCTTAGGGGAGTAACTGGTGAGATAGGAGAAATCTGCTGTGCCATGTGGGTCAGCTCCCTGGCCCAGCATGGAACTCTTCCTGCAATGGCTGCCCATAGTTTCATAATATGCAATTTTTCCCCTTGCACCCTTGTTTTGTTCTTTTAAACTTGAAGCTCACAAGCCATTTTTGAGAAGCAAGCAAATCATGTTTAATGATTTATCAGTGTCTCCAGAGTAGGAGTTTTGATAATTTACTATAAAAATTATTAAGATTCTTTTTTTCCTGTTCTATTTATTCATTTTTAAGTAGAGCAGATTTAGAGTCCAGCAAATTAAAAAAAAATAAAATTTCCAGCAAATTTCAGCAGAAAGCATTTCCATGTACTCCCTACTCCCCCATTCATAGCATCCCCTGCTATTATCTTTCCCCACCAGAATAATTAATATAGTTGCTACAGTTGATGAACCAACGCAAAGTCCATAATTTATGTTAGGGTTCACTCAGGTATTATACATTCTACGGGTTGGACAAATATATGTTCACTGTTAAACAGTAATATACCACTTAATGACTGAATGGCTTTGAGAAATGCCTCAGTTAAATCATTGTAAAAAGCATAGAGTGTATTTACTCAAACCTAGATAGTATAGCCTGTACCTAAGCTACCTGTGGGGACTACTGTGTAAGGTCATGTGGTACATGACTGGAGTATCATAAGGATAGTTCCAGAGCCCTAAGAGTACTCTATGCTTTCTCTATCCTTTCCTCTCCCCAATCCCTGGCAGCCATTCAGCCTTTTTTATTATCGCCACAGTTTTACCTATTCCTGTATGCCATGTATTTGAAGTTGTACAGTATATAATCTTTTCACTTGGCTTCTTTTACTTAATAATATATCTTTTTAAATTTCTTACATGATAGCATATTTATTTTTAGCACTTAATAATAATTCCATTGTCTGGATGGACCACAGTTCACCCATTACCTATGGAAGCACACCTTGGTTGCTTAGGTTTTGACAGTTGTGAATAAAATTGCTGTAACATCCATCTGCAGGTTTTTGACATAAGTTTTCAACTCTTTTGAAAGGAGCGTGATTGCTGGATTGTAAGATAAGAATATGTTTAGCTTTGTAAGAAACTGGAAGACTATCTTTCCAAAATTGGCAGTAGTATTTTGCATTCCCAGCAGCAACGGATAAAAGTTTCTCTTGTGCCACATACTCAGCAGCACTGATATGTAGTTATAGGTCATTTGTTATTTTAACTTGTTTTTCCCTTGACAAAGACAGACTAGGGAGCAGAACAGGCTGACTGACTGAAATGCACTGTTGAGGGGAGCAGCGGGAGGGCCAGGAGAGGTTTGTTGCACCATGTAGGCCTCTCCCCGCCACCCAGTACATATTATTAAGACATATTATTAAGTAAAAGAAGCCAAGCGAAAAGACTATATACTGTATAATTTCAAATACATGGCATATTAGAATAGGGAAAACTGGCAAGGGATCGAACTCATGCACAGTGGCTGCATAGTCCCATCGTGCTGCGCTTCAACCTGATCTGCCACCAGGGAGGGACCTTGAGCCATTTTTTAAATGAGCTTTATGTTGTTGAGTTCATACAAGTTCTTTTATAAACTATACAAAGGATAGCAGTCTTTTATCAGATATGTGTTTTTTGCATATATTTCTCCCACTCTGTGGACACTGCCTTTCATAGAGCAAAACCTCATTTTAATGAAGTCCAACTTATTTTTTCTTTAATGGGTCATGTCGTTTTTAATCTAAAAAAGTCCTCATGATATTAAAGACCATTTAGGTTTTCTCCTGTGTTCTCTCCTAGGACTTTATAGTTTTATATTTTACAGTTAGATGTACTTTATGTTAATTTTTATGAAGAATTTAAGATCTAGTCTAAGACCCTATGGGGGGATGTTATGCATATTCAGTTGTTCCAGCACCACTTGTTGAAAAGACTCTTTGTTCCATTGTATTGCCTTCATTCTTTTATTTTTGTGGTTGTATTTCTGAGCGCTGTTATATTTCATTGATTTGTGTATTTCACCATTACCACACTGTCTAGATCACAATAGCTTTATAGTGATTTTTCTTGACTATAACATATAACAGAAAATAAAAGAGAAATGACTCTTGAAAATACACTTACTTGGCCCTCCTTGGCGCAACAGGTTAAAGTGCAGCACTGCGAGCTAGTTGCAGCTACTACAGAGTGAGTTTGATCCCTGGCCAGCAGGGAGGTGGCCCACATGGCACAGCAGACCTCTCCTGTCTTGCCCACTACTCCCCTCAGCAGTGTACTCTTTCCCTGGTGAATCCTCTCACTGCCCCTGCACCTCTGGCCTGCACCCCAGTTCTGCATGCATAAACATAACTTTTTTAAAAGAAGTAAAGAAAATATACTCACTTGAAATGCGAGTTTATTTGGCAAAGATTGCAAACTTTGACAGCTATTTTGATGAGAAAGAAAAGAAACAGCACTCCATATAACTTACGCTGATGGGAGTGTGAGTAACACATTCATCTAGCTCAATGAAGGACTGATTGGCAATATCAGCAGTACAGTCACATAAATTTTGATTCAGTAGTTCTGCTTCGAGGAACTTTTATATGCTTACACACATGTGAATTCATGTATGCCCTAGGTTTTGTCATGATAATGTTGCTGTTAATTTTAAAGATTGAAAACCGCCTAAATACCTCCTGTCAGTACTGGAGTGGGTAAATAATTATGAAGTATCCATGGAGTACCGTGCATCCATGGAAGGGTGAGGAGATGAGAGGACATATATACTGACAGGAAAAATCTCTAAGATATACTGTTATTGAGAAGGAAAAATCAGTATATGACTCATATTCTATCATTTGTGGAGAAAAAAGACAAAGCATACATACTTGTATATATACAAGTATAAATAGCTTTTTTGTGTCTTTTTTACACAAAAATGAATGGGAAGAGAGAAATTTTACACAGTATTACACAGCATTTTATAATTTCAAATTTTGAACCAAGTGAATATATCTGCATTTTCAAATAACAAGAAAAAATGTAAAGTGAACGCTCTTTACTGGCTGCTCATCACTTTAGGTAAATGATCACCTCCTCATTTTGCTGCTCACGAGCCTTAGAATTTGACTTTTGTATCCCAAACTTACTCTAAAGTTTGCTTCCTATCCTCAGCTTGCAAAGCACATTTCTAACAGCTACATGTGCTATCACTCCCTTGCTTTTGAAATTAGTTTTGTTCTTCCTGGAATGACTTTCCTAATCCCAGGGCCTTTCATTTTTCCTGTAAATTTAAAGCCCAGTCCAGAATTACCCTTCATGAATTCTTCTGTGTTTGTATGACCTCTTATTAATTTTACTTGGATAGTATACTGAAATTATGTTTTCATTTCTGCTTTTCTCCTTTGTTATAAGCAAGCTCCTTAAGGTCCATGTGTTAAATAAAATGAATCAGCATGTTTTCTCAAGTCTCTGATCATGATGTAACTGATAAACCTTTAAAATATTAAAAATATTTGTACCTTTTTACCCAAAATTGTTTTGCTGGATTTAAAAAAAAAAGATATAACTAAAATTTCATGAGCAAGGAAAATCATTGCAGCCTTACAATCGAAAATTATAAATAATCTGAATGTCTAACAACAGTGGACTATTTAAATACGAATGGGCTGATAGACTCTGGAATGATGATGATGAATATTAACTGCTATGTTCTCAATATACTATATAGAAAAGCAAGTTACAAAGCAGTAAAATTGGATCCAATTTTGTGATCCAGCTTAGTGCACAGAGAAAAAACTAGAAGACTACTGTAGAAAACAATAGCAGAGATTACCCTCTGATTTATAAATTTAAGTTTCATTGGAGGAAAAATGTTGTTTCTAAACAATAGATTTGTAAAGAGCAGTAAGCCTAAGTTTTGTGTAAAACCTTATTCAGATTTTTCTAAATATTTTGTTTAACAGAATGAATGGTTTTCAGAGAACTTTAAAGTATATATATTAAAACTGCACAGAATTTAACTCTGCCTTTGTTAATTAAGAAGGCATTCAAATTTTCTCTCATGTTTATCAGAATTAAGATACAAGTTTACTTGCTAACTTACAGGACACCAGAAAGAGTGGTAACTGCGGAAGGATACTAACATTTGAGACCATGTACCAGGACTGTTCAAAAACTTGAATTAGATATTCTTAAGAGCCTATAAAATAGGAAGTGTTAGTACCCCAACTTACAGGTTGAGAAACTGAGACTCAGAAGTGAGGTACTTTGTTCTCGGTCACATGAGAATAGTCAGAATGCCCATTGTTAGAGTGGTGGGTAAAGGGCTTATTGTAATTGGGTGGAGAAGATGCTGTGGATGAAGATCAAAGGAGTTTCGTGCCCTTGGTTCAGTAGTGATTTGGATAAATACGGGTGAGTATCCCCACAGGCAGTGGGCTTCTATCAGAGGAGGCACTGCCCAGAGGCTAGAACCATATTCAGGGAGGTTCTCTACATCTCTGAGAAATGACTGGGGTCTATGGAACTTGCTTACTTCTCTGGGTTGACTTTAACAATGATTTCTTGAGGTCTTATAGATGATGTCCTCCCAGCTTTAAGGAAGAAGTCAAGCAAGGATTGAAGGTGTCTGGCGAGGAGCCTTGCTTAAATGACAACAATGACAAGAGAAAACTGGGCCCACAATACTTTGAGACAAGAGGGGCTTTTTAAAGGGAAGGATGATACCTGGAAATGGGGAACCAGCTTCCAAGGGAGCAGCTCCTCTGTCTGGGAAACTTCCCACCTGCACTTTAGGCAGTTACGTTACCATGACACTTCTGGACCTCATGAGGCACTGAGCCGACTCCGGGAGCTCTGTCGCAGGTGGCTGAGGCCAGAAGCACGTACCAAGGCGCAGATACTGGAGCTTTTGGTCCTGGAGCAGTTCCTGAGCATCCTGCCTGGCGAGATTAGGACTTGGGTGCAGATCCACCGCCCCGGGAATGGCGAGGAAGCCGTGGCCCTGGTGGAGGAGCTACAGAAAGACCTTGAAGGACCAGCACTAAAAGTGAGAAAGGAGAGGGGAGAGAATTGATGCAGGGCAGGCTGGCCTAGAAGGTGACCCTGTGATTTTCATGAACAGTTAATAGCATGTTAGCAACCCTGATACTAAAGTAGCTTGGTGAGTGATGTAGACCATGGGATATCTGTTCAGAGAAATCAATTTATGTGATCTGGGTGTTTGGGCCCAATTCTTAATCAGCATAAAGACTGCTTTGGCCCCCTGAGTGATGCTTGTAATGCTGAGTTTTGTTCAAGACCCTGAAAATATAGTTTATAAGTGTTCCCTAAACAAAAGCATACACGTGGCTTGTATAAATCTGTTTGGAATAATGATGTAAGCCTGGCATATAAAGGCAGCAGGAGACCAAGAAGGAAGTATTCTAGACCAGGGAAGACCTCCTCTCTCCTGAGGATTCTGTAAGCCAAGGGGGTGGGTTAGGACATTTGCTTCTGCTAAGATTTTTACATCCTTTACCATTAAGTTGAGATCTTAATATAGTTTCTAGGGTATGAGATCTCTTTTTGTTGATCTACAGCCTACCAGAAACATTTCTGTGTAAGAAATCTAAAGATAGCTTAAACTTGGGAGTGGCACCAAGGAAAGATGAGCTTACTTGTTTTAATTATAAAAATGGAGAAATTTAGAGCAAATTTATTTCAGTGCAAATTGCTACTCCATCCTCCTCATTTGAGACCTAAGTAAAGGGAGGCAGAAAAAGCTGACTGCATTGCCTCCGGTTGGAAATCTAGCTAACAGCAAACCAAATGTCCTGACTCCTACTTCAGTATTCTTCCCTTTGGAGCAGGAAGGGTAAATACGTACAAGAGTGTATGAAACCCAGGACTGTTCTAAAACTAGGTCTAAAGCTGAAACCCGTGGTCTTAATTATTGCTTGTTATTTCCCATCCCTTTCTTAACCCACAGCCAGGTTTGAGTTGTGTTTTCGCCCTTCTGTTGCGTCTCCTCTGGGAGAAGTCACCACTGCCATGAATGGGGCTATTGGAGGCAGTTCCTTTGCTCCCAAAGCAAAACCTTACTGTTGTTTGAATGCCCCGTATTTGAGGTGGGTCTCTCTGATCTCACAGTTCTACACTGTGGGCAAAAAGAGGTCCACAGTGATTTGGTGAGGCTCTGTTCTGGAAGTACAGAAAGAACAGCTTGTTTTGTTTTGCTTGTTCCCAGCTTCCAGTCCTTGTCCAGGACCAGGACCCGCTCCAGGAAGGGATGAGCACTCCAGGAACAGCACTTCTCCAAGCACCCAGTGATAGTCACGTATCAGCAGAAATTCATCCAAGTGTTCTCACTGACTCATTGGTGTTCAGCCTCCAGGATCCTCAACATGGTATTTACATTGTGGCTCTGGCTTTGGACTTTCTTTGGACCTTTGCTGTGGGTTAACCCCTGTTTCCTGATAGTTACTTCCTTTCCTGCCCTGTCCCTGACCCCCGTAGGTACCAAGTTCTTTCCACTGTTTTCCCTTTTGTCCTTTCTGAGGTCCCTTTTATTTATTCTCATTGCTCCTCTTTTAGTTACCCAACCCTGCAATGGGGTTCACTCAGAAGACAGTCAAAGGTCATTTTGTAGTCATCTCTGCCTCATCCTAGGAGTTCTGGGTCTTTCTGAATTCTTGTTTCTAGAACATACTAGACTTGGACAAATGGGCAGTTACCACAGTAATCTCACACACAGCTTTTCTTCCCCTCAGATCCTCCTGCCCCTGAGGCTTCTGCACTTTCTCAGGAAGAGAACCCAAGAAATCAGTTAATGGCACTTATGCTGCTTACAGCCCAGCCCCAGGTGAGAGCTACATCCTCTTTTCTAAAGCCCTGTCTGCATTATCTAATGGTAGCTGAAGTGGTCTCTCTCATCCTCTCCAATCAGTTTCCATCTCTGAATCCAGGTCCATGCTATAGAAAGGCCTACTTTACATGAGATCTCCTTATGTCTTCCTGATTTCCCTTGCCCACTTCCTGGCCTCACAATGTGTAGGTAACTATCAGAAAGGAAGTAACTGTCAGAGAAGTAACTGTCCTTCCAGAGAAGTAAAAGGAATCTGTCTGAAGGGGAGCTTTGGGGCATGGATAATCTCACACATAACTGTTATTTTAGGAGTTGGTGATGTTTGAAGAGGTATCAGTATGCTTCACTTCAGAGGAATGGGCATGTCTGAGCCCAGTTCAGAGGGCCTTGTACTGGGATGTCATGCTGGAGAATTATGGAAATGTGACCTCCTTAGGTAAGGGCCCCTTCTTCCCATTGTTACTACTTTTACTTCATTTGCCCTTGTTTTCTGATTATGAAAGTACATACTTATTTTGGAAAACACAATATTATAAGAAGGAAAAAGCTTTAATTTATACCCACTAATTGCAAACTACTATAATTTTGATATATTTCCTTTCTATTTTTTGTGTGTGTTGGAGGGCTTTTTTTATATTGATTTAAGTGTGTGTGTGTTGTATTAGGGCTTCCTTTGTATTCTCTTTATGCTTCTGTTATTACAGATTCTTGGCAAATATATATATTGGTTACATAATAAATGCCATAATTCTACTTGCCGTTTTCTTATTTTAGAATATTGCTTTAATCATCATCTATCCCTATTTCTCATTATTTTTTAGAAGTAGAATTACTAGGCCTAAGTGTTTGAATTGTTTTAAGGGTCTTACTTCAATTATTGTTCATAATTACTTCATTATTACCAAATACTGCTAAAATGACATTTAGTAAACGCAATAATGATATGATAAATGCAGTCATATAAGTAGTTCCTAGGGAGGGAAGTGCCTCTGCCCTCTGCTTGGGTGCCCACTGTCTCTAGAATGGCTCACTATAAAACTGACACTGAAAGCATTTTGTGGTTTTTACCTGTTGTCTTAAAAGTTAAAATAGTCTGGATTTCTTTTGGTTAGTGAAAGCAGGAATTAATATAGATCTTTTGTAAAAATAAAGTGGTGTAACATGAATTGTTGAAAAGCAGGGACTGCCTGTACTGTTTTTGTGTTTTAGGCCTGTTTTAAAATTACATGTAGATCTTGCATGTTTAAGGTTACATCAGCCCTTTGGAATTGGAATCTTCTCAGGTTTTCTAATTGACTGTTGTTTGTTTAGATAAAAATAGTGATGCTTTTGTATGTCACAACCTCATTTTATTTATTGTTCATAGTAATTTATATTATATATATTTACAATTTTAAAAAAGGATTTTATTTTATTTATGCATACAAGAACTGGAATACAGGCCAGAGGTGTGGTGGGTGAGATGATCACCAGAGACAGAATGGGGAGCAGAACAGGCAGATTGACTGAAATACACTGTTGAGGGGAGGAGCAGCGAGCGAGACAGGAGAGGTCTGCTGCTCCATGGGGGTCAGCTCCGGGCCAGTGAGTGAACTTGTGCTATGGTTAGCGTCATAGTGCTAGTGCTGTGCTTTTAATGGTTGCGCCACTAGGAACGGCGCAATATATATTGTATATATTTACATTTTGAGAAGATTTTCTTAGTATCTCATACATTTTGCGGATTTTGTATTTTGATATACATTACCAAACAGCTTTCTACCAATGATGTATCAATTTACATTCCTACTAAAAACAAAAGATGACCTATTTCTCCTGTATGGATTTGTTCAGTATTTTAAATCTTTACTAGATAGATGAAGAGTATTGACTTTTGCTTGTTTTTCATTTCTGTATTAATATGGTTGAAATCTTTTCACATGTTTATTGGATTTTCCTCCTATACATATTCTCTCAACAGTTCTTTTATTAGGACTGCTAATCTTTGTCAAGTGTTTCATATACTTTTCCACTTCTTTGCCTTTTA